TAACGGTGCAGCAGGGCCTGCAGGAACTGTTGGGATCAGGAAGTGGAGAAGGACTATTGCTCATTCACATAACAATGGCACCAAAGGGTGCAAATTAGGATCAAGGGCCTGGTGCTGGTGCTGTGCAGACACTTAATAGGAGGCACTTGGCTCTGAAGGGCTCCCACTGGACTTATGGAGGAAAACCTGCTGTTTAAATAGGGATTTTTATTTAAATGGACTTTTGTTTTGTCTCAGATTTGATATCTGTAGTGAGTATTTGGGAGAGACTCTAATTTCCTGGCCAGCTCTGGTATCTAAACAGTGACTTGGTGACTTATTGCATATCTTTTTGTAATAGAGATGTTCCTACTCACACAGCAGAAGCATTTTCTATGAGGCAGTGAATAAACGGAGGACAGAAAGGTGTGTCCAGCCTGGCAGAGCTTTTTCTCTCACTATAAGGCAAGAGATGGATCTAGTTTGAGGCAGAAGAAAGAGGTTTTGATATAAGAGGTATGGATACTCAAAACCTGAGACCTGCTTATTGGTGAGTTGGTGAGTGCAGATAAGGATCCCAGAGGATTTCAGGGTTGGCCACCTTTGTGTACCAGGAGAAGAGGAAGCAAGCTTGCTGTTAGGCTCCTCTCCCATGCTATGTGTTTCTGTGCTGCTACAGCTCTGGAAGCTGTGTGCATGCAGTGCTCTCTGTCAGCAACAGGGTGCTGTAGACATGAGGATTTGGAGTATCCCTCAGTGCTGCCAGAGAGAGGCTTTTCCTGGCTCCCAAACTCACAAGCTGTGCTCCTAGCTACTAAATGACTCTAACAAGGTGGAAGCTGCTTTTGGATCCTAAACCCTCCAGAAATCCTGCCCATTCCAGTGAAGCCTGGGACATAACCCACTGGGAGAGAAAGTATTTGTCTCGCATCAAGTCTGGAGGTGCTCAGAGCTGAGGGGACACCTTCCACTAGAGCAGGTTGTTCCAAGCCCCTGTGTCCAACCTGGCCTTGAACACTGCCAGGGATGGGGCAGCCACAGCTTCTCTGGGCACCCTGTGCCAGCGCCTCAGCACCCTTATAGCAGGGTCAATTAAATCTGCATGGGAAGGGGGATCTGGGAAGGGTAAGGACAGAGGCTGCCGGATCCTGGGGAAAGCTGGATTAATGTTTGGGAGTGTTTCAGAAGGGAGAAGGAGCCTTGGGGTAACAGCAGAGAGCTTGTTCCCCATCAGTGCAAACTGGATGAGCAGTGGATGGTGCAGTGGATAGATCTGCAGCTGAGACAAGGCAGAGGAGCAGAGCTTGCCAAGAAGCAGTGCTGTGAGATCAGTGCCCAGCATTCCTCATGGGCGTGTGGCTTCGTGGCGGGACTGCAGGAACAAGCCCACCAGGAGATAACAGCCTAATTTTAGATTCACAGGTTCCCAAACAGGGCTGGGTGTTTTCGTTAATGAATAGCATAGGCACTTAGGAATCC